TGAGGTTTAAGCAAAGTAAAAACGAAGTAACAAGTATTCCAATTAGAGAGTCAGGGATGAGTTTCGACATTTTTAGGCCCCGAGTCCGAGGGAAAAAAACCCTCTACAGATCCGATTAAGTTCGACTTCGATCATTACTAAAAATCTTTTTTTTGTTAGGTTAGACCATGATTTATAAAAAAGAAAAAATATATACCACTCCGGTGCAACCCGAGTTCGAAGTATTCTAATAAAGATTAAGACGCGATTGGATTCAGTCACGGACTTGTTCGACTCACCTCTAATTGCAATGTATGTTAAGTAAAAAAATTAAAATGTTAAATTAAAATTCAAGTATTAATCTTTGCAAGTGAAATTAAGTTAGAAAGTAAAATATATAGATATGTTGTTTGACTGCTCCTCGGTAACTCAGAAGAAAATTGTAGAACTTATAACGCTAGATTTTTAGGTTCGATCCCTGCGATGGTCTCATCGCAGATATCCCATTGTGCAGCTTTGTGCTCAAAAACAAACAAACAATTGTTCTCTTATTATATGTATTCATTTATGAAAACCCTCTTTCAATTACAAACTGTAAAATATCATTCCAGTACACAATTGTCAGAATTGTTTAAACACTCAGTAACCCCATTTTCTGTCCACCTTCTGTTTTTTGTTGTTTTTTATTCGAATCATTTACTTAAAGACTAAATGCTATAAGTCGGTTGTTACATCTGTCTTTTCAGGTTTGTGCAAACCTTTTACAAACAGATGCCACAAGAATCGCGCCAAACGAAGATTAGAACGTCTTTGAAGCTTTTGTACCAATAACAATAAAACACACATATTCGTAAATCTCACTTATCAAAGACTACAGAGTTATTTTGAGGGAAATGTTACTCGATATTTCAGGTATAAAAATGTAGTACCTGTATATATATATATAAATATTTCATTAAAGCCAAATGTGAAACTTCTTTATAGGAAGTACTAAACATAAACCGGAGAAATGTTAAATATTAGTGTGTGCTTCATTGTCTTTAATCAGTTAGACTCAGAATATTGTGTGTCTTTTCATAAGTTACGTTTGCTTTGCTATAATTCCAAAAACAAATTAAAATTATGCCTATTTTTTACACTTTCTTCTATTAATTTGTACTATTACATTACATATACATCTATTTAACCATCCGGCATAGCTAGGTGGTTAAGGCGCTTTACTCGCAATCTGCGGATCGCGGGTTCGAATTCCCATCCCACTAAACATGCTCGCCCTTTCAGCATTGGGGGGCGTTATAATGTGACGATCAAGAGCAGCTCAAGAGTTAGCGGTGGGTGGTGATGACTAACTGTCTTCCCTCTAATCTTTCACTGCTAAATTAGGGACGGCTAGCACAGATAGCCATCATGTAGATTTGAACGAAATTCTGTTAAAAAATAAACAAATATATATTTAAACACACAAAAAATAACAACTTGAAACGAATGAAAAACAAACACCAAAACTTTACAAAGAAACTTGTAAAATTTCTATAGAAAATAAAACGAATCACAGCTTTTCTTTGTAAATATGAAAGATTCAAAAGTAAAAACATTTATTAGAAAATTTAATTCAAGTTATATTTTTTTTAGATAATTTGGATATCTCCGTTTTTCAAATTACCGTCCATGAATTATTTTAAATTATCTTTTACGTATTATATTTATATATATGTATGTGTGTTTAAAGGTACACATATAATAAAAAAAGCCCAACATTTTATTACTCAAAAAAAAAAGTTTGAATCTCTGAAAGAAAATGTTTTCACGTTCTAGGGCTTTTTATATAATTTCAATAGGAATTTCCAAGTCCTTCATTTGGATGTTCATATAGCGATAACCACCATCCTAGCAGTTAATAACTCATTCAATGACTGCTTCACTGAGTCTCATATTTCTGTATATTACACGAAACTTCTAGATTCTTAACTTCCATTAACCTGCTAGATCTTGTGTCATGCCCTCTCTAGTGAAAAAACATTTAAATTAAAATATTTTTCAGAATATATCTCACAACACTATAAAAAATGAAATGAAAACAAATAATGATATTAATATATCCTACCTTTATCATTCATTATGACATAAACTAAAGAAACATAAATGCAATCGCAATATTTTTATAGTGAATATCGCCACCAGTGACTCAATGGTAAGGTTGAGGGCCTATAACTTCGAGGTTCGATCTCTGCAGGGAGAAGGGCAGTATAGATAGTATATTAACACAACATAATGTTTTGGGACAACATGGAACCTATTGGTCTATCTCGGCTGTCCCATCCTCTAAACTAAAACTATTAATAAATTAAATTAGAATTTAAAAACTCTTAAAGCCAGCCCTTACCATTAATATATTTATCAAGCTTTCTGTTAAACTCACATAAAATTACTACTTCCAAAAAATCCGAAGGCAACCCAATCCAAAGGCCAACCACCCTGTTAGAAAAATAAAACAGTCTTAACTGAAGATGACTCCTACCCTGCCAGGATTTATATTTGTGTCCCCTAGTCCTACTATTCTCACTGTTAAATATAAAAAATGATGATGCATCAACACTATCAATTCCCTTTACAATCTTAAACACATTAATCAGATTCCCTCTAATTTTTCTTTTTTTCAAGTGAACACAATTTCAGATATCACAGTCCTCCTTTGAACTATTTCTAAAACTCAATGTCCTTCCTAAGTTAAGAAGCCCAAGACTGAAAGCAATACTCCAAATGGGGCCTAACCAGTGACCTATATAATGAAATTATAAACTCTTTAGACTTGTATTCAATATTTCTGAAGATACAACTTAAAATCTTATTTGCCCTACCATTAGCAACAGCACACCGCTTGGATGACTTAGAGACTTTTCAACCATTACACTAAGATCCTTTTTTTTTCATGACACTGTTGATGTTATTCCCATCCAAATTATGATAACCCACATGCAGTATATTGCATATATTATAGTTAAAACCCATCTGCCATTTATTTTCCCAACTCACTAAATGATCTACATCCTCTTGTAAAGCAGCAGCATCCTCTTCACAGCTAGCAACACCCAAGACCTTAATATCATCTTCAAATTTAAGTAATTTATTGACTATTCCTTCATCTATGTCATTGTTGTACATAAAAAAGCCAAGATCCTATGAATGAGCCCTGAGGTACCCCACTTGTGAAATTAATCCAGTTTGACTGAACACCTTTTATAACAACTCCCTACTTTCTTCCATCTAGCCACTCTTCTATCCCTTAGTTGACTATCCAATAACATTTTAATTTTTGTTCAATGGCTTTGCAAAACATCTTTTATCAGACTTTCCAAAACTTTTCCTACAACTGATGTAAGACTAATGGGCCTATAATTACTGGGACAATTTTTATTAACTCCCTTGAAAAGAAGAGTGACGTTAGGTAACTTCCAATCCTTTAGTACCTGCCCAGTATTCAAGGACTTACAAAAAATAGTAGCAAGTGGCTCACATATCCAGTCTTTAATATCCTTCAAAACCCTTGAGGAAATATTATCTGGTCCAGGAAACTTATCTTTCTTTAAACTTTCCAATTTTTTCTTAACCAGCTCAGAATTAATGTAGTCATCTTCTTCGATCTTCTTTCCATTTATCAGCTGTTCAAGATATGGAATACTGCTTAAATCTTCGTTAGTAAAAACTGAAGAAAAAGCACAATTTAATAACCCAGCCGTCTATAATCATCAGATATGAGCCTTATTTTATCATCCCTCAAGGGTCTTACCCCCATCCTAACATTTTGTTTACCCTTAATGTATTTAAAGAAATCCTTACTGTTAATTTTTAAAATTTCAGCCAACCTTTTCTCATACATCTTTTGATGTCCTCATTTCCTGTTTCACCAACTTTCTGGATCTTCTAAGTCTCCCATCATACCAGTCAATTTATATTTATTAAATTTGTGACGCTTTTCTTTAATTTTATTCTTTATACTCTTTGTGATCCAACGTGGTTTTTACTTGCAGCAACCCTTTTCTTTCTATAAGGAATGTTAACCTTGAATATTTAAAATTTTATCTTTAAAAATTGTTGACATTTGATCAGTATCTTCAAATGCCCAATTAACAACAGATAATTCTTGTCACGCGCCTTCAAAATTTGCTTTTTTGAAATTTATAACCAAAATATCATTATTCCGTATCTCCATATGCAACAAAATATTGAACCTTATAGAGCAATGGTCATTTGCAATCAGATGTTCCCCAATTTCCACCCTCTCGATCATTTCTATATTTGAAGTTAACAATAAATATAAAATGACATTGTTTCTAATAGGTTCCTTGATTAATTGGTGAAGAAAGCCATCTTGAACAGTTTCAAATAGCCTTTCTCCCTCTCAGTTTGATTCTAGCATTTCCCAATCTATATGCCTGTAATTAAAGTCACCCATAAGTATGACTTCATTAACAGTTGAAATTTTAATCTCATTGTAAAGTTTCTCACTGATTTCATAAGTATCGTCGTCCTCAAATATACAAAACAAACAATAACCGTAGTGAATCAAACTGTTTTACAGTAAACTGCAAAATCAGTCATAAGCTTTCTCAGTCCTTCAATAAAAAAAATGTGTTTCAACGTTTATTTGGACAAAAGCAAATAAAATTATATCGGTAGTATATTCTTTAACTGCTAAAATATAACTCAGAAAGTTCACTAGTACTTCTTTCAAAATTTGTTTTGCACTGATTATATGTCTAACACCTTTAATGTGCTTCCCTATATTCCTTGAAATTTCTTGCTAAAAAGCTTTCGGAGTCTTTTATTTGTTTAACTTGTCTGGAACACAATATATACCTGTGAATCCGTTACAGTAGTAAAATGAGTTGCTGTCTTAGCCTACGCTTCTATGATATTTTGTCAAATGAATTTTCAATAGTGCTGCCACCAAGTTGCACCATCTCATCATGAAACCGTAATGTTGTTGTTATGTTTCTATCAACGCATAGGCTTAAAAATAAAAGTTTTTGCAGAGGCAGCAATTTTTTTTTAAAACTTAATAAAAACTAAAGAGTAAGTACAAAGTGATTTATAATACCAATTTAGTAATTATAACTTAAATGTAAGCAGAGGACATTCGGCTATTAATATTATTAACTTAGGATAAACCTAAGATGTAATAATATTATAAATTATAATGTAAAATGTCGATTAGGCCTTATTTCACATTTTTTATTTATTGAAAGAGAGTTATTTTGGCTACTTAGCGAAAACTTTAACTGAAAAGTGTGAGTTTAACACACAAGAAAATAATACAATGCTAATACCACAAACAAGACTCGGTTAACACTATAAAAGTTTAAATATATAGTATAAATTATAATAGAATAATAATATTAATAGCAGCACCAGCCTCGAACCTGTATTTTGCAAAGTGCAGTGGTGTTCATACTACAAAGTTTAGAAACAGAAGTATTTGTACTTTGTAGTCATAGTCTTATACGAAATTAGTATTAATGCTATCATTATTATTAATTTAACACTCGGAGCAGTGTAGTACTAGTAGCGTGACAGCTGAAAAAACAACGAGTGAATGACATAGATTTAATCTAACATCTAAGTTAAGTGTTACTACTACTTAAGTCCGAACTGGTCATTAAATTTTAAAATTGTTAGAAAATTGGATTGTGTTTTTATTTATATTTCAATTTTTACAGTTTTTTTTTATTTTGCATTGTTTGCATTTGTTGCTATATAGGCTACTGCTGTTTAATATGTATATATACCAGAACTGAAGGCAACCCATTCTGAAAGTCAACCACCTTGTTAAAAAAAGTAAAGTTGATGTAGCTAATGATAACTTCCATCCTGCGAAAACTTATATTTGTTCCCTCCCCATCCTACCATTCTCACCACTAACTGTGGAAAAAGATGATATAGCTATACTGTCAATTTCCTTAACAATCTTAAACACCTCAATCAGATCCCTTCTAACTTTTTTTTTTAAGATTAAACAATTTCAAGAGGTCTTAACTTGTCCTCATATAACAACCTTTTCAGACCGGGTATCATCCGTGTATCCCTCCTCTGAACCCTTTCCAACAACTCAGTGCCAATCTTAAGGTATAAAGATCAAGACCTAACCAGTGACCTATACAAAATTATACCCTCTTTAGACTTGTATCCTGTATTTCTTTAGATACAACCTGAAATCTTATTTGCTCTGCCAGTAGCACTACGTGTTTTAACCAAAGATCAAAATTTAAATTGTGTAAAGTAAAAGAAAGTTCTTTTCTTTTTGTGGCAAATATGAATGTGTATATTTCTTTTCTACAAATATTAATTATATATAAAAACTATCTTTAGTTTGACCAAAACCTATAACTAACTATATCAGCAAAAGATAAATCATGAAGTTAATGGTTTTTGACATCAGCATGGTTTACGCTGTTAGTTTGAAACTTGCAAAAATTAGCATTCTGATTGTAGATAACCTTTATTTTTGTTCACTTAAATATTCAGCAATGCTAACAAATTGTCCTATTCTTACATGGCTTTTGAAAATTTAAGTTTCGACTAAAACACTGATGTCTGTATGAGTGTGAATTATGTAGCACTAATGAATTAACATGAGTTCAAATAAATTGGCATGCTATTTGATTTTCAAATGCAGTATCTGTGGTTAGAAGGGTTTTTTATGGTATTATTTTGAACAATGTTAACTTTTTTTGATTGAATGAACACTTTTTCACAATATAAAATTAAAACCATTAATTAAAATTAAAGAAACCACTAACATATCATTCCCAGCCAACCTGATGAGCCCTGGTCTTGGGCAAAAGGCCTCGTTGATACTGGATATAACAGATTTAATGTGGTGGACATAGCATATTCATCTTTACTTTCACTCACAAGATCCTAGAATAACATAAACATAAAATTTAAGGACAACAAGGAACCTGTTGTTCCATCTAGGCCATCCAATTTATTAAACTAAAGTATTAAAAATAATTCAAAAGCTAGCCCTTATCATTCAAGTATTTATCAAGTCTTCCCTTAAACTCTTTTAAGTTTACTGCAGCCAGCACAACTAAAGTCAACTCATTCCAAAAGCCAGCTACACTGTTAGAAATATAAAACTATCCTGTCAAAATTTATATTTGTGTTGCCTAGTCCTACCATTTTCACCATTAAATATGAAAAAAAAATATTGTCAATTGCATTAGCAATCTTAAACACTTTAATCATATCTTTTCTAATTCTTCATCTTTTCAAAAGAAAACTGTTTCAGAGATCTTAACCTGTCCTTGTATTACAATCTTTTCATCCCAGTTATCATTCTGTTAGCCCTCTTTGCAACAATCCGATGTCCTTCGTAAGGTAAGGAGCTCAAGACTGAACACAATACTCAAAATTATACTTATAAAATTAAAGGCCATCTACCATTTATTTGTCCAACTCACCAAATGATCTAAGTCATTTTTTAAAGCAGTATCCTCTTCCTCAGAGTCAGTAACACCCAGTATTGTTATATCATCAGCAAATTTGATTATGCAACCCAGGAGCAGGGTGGAGGATATAATTGACAGAGCATGTGATATAGTTAAGGGTGCTACCTTTAGTGTGTGGTAGTTTGAGTTGATAAAAAGTGCCTTACTAGCAAGGGGATACTTTTTACTACTCATACTACTATTTGTGTCCTGTACTGTAATATTTAAATTTTTGCTGGACAGTAAGCATGCAAAATATTGCATAGGTTGAGCGTTCTTATGTAGCATTGAATTGAAAACAATGATATTTCATGCTACTTGGACTGAAAACATCTATCTGAAATACCTTATCTTTTATGTGTTATAGTATAGTAGGTGAGATGTGTGCTAATAACACATTTAAGCCTCATAGTTACATTACTTAACATGCACACCCACAGGTTCTGTTAGGACTCATCTATAAGCCTGAAGTTTAAACAGTTTGTGTTAAACTGAACAAAATAAATACAAGTGATAGAGGACCTTCTGTTGCTTTTAACATTTGAAAAACTCGTCTATTCAAAGCCTTAATTGCTAAACATATTAAGCACAAATCACACCTTTTATTTTTGTTGCTTATTAATTATTGTCATATTAAGATGATCTAAACCTGCAGTGATTGAAGTTTATTTCTTAAATATGAAGCAAATGTATAAAATTAGAATTAATGAAATGTGTCACTGGTGTAATTAAGTTTTGTCATACTATTGGAATAAAACATATATGTATATATGAAATTTAAAAAGTAATTATCAGAATATATCTGAATGGTTTTACACTATAGTTAAACAAGAAATAAGCAGTCACAAGTACAGTGAGTTGTACATTTGGAGAGAGACAACACATTACATGAAAGAAATTAAGTTTCATTATGAATATTTTAAGGAGGGGTTGTGGGCATAAAAATAGAATTTTCTGAAATGTTTCAGGGTAGAACTGAGCATTTGTTAATATCAATCAACCAAATAGAAAGGCTGAAGTATTAATCAATAAAGTCAGGACATTATGCTCTTCGGTTAACATTTTAAAAAATTCCTCAAATAAAGAAATCCTCACAAATGCATGTCAGGGCATTCTCTATGTTCTTCAGTTAACATGTTAAATGTTTCTCAAGTAAAGAAACCCTCATATAAGCAGTGCTCTTTTGTGAATAACTTTTTTCAGAGGGACAGATTCAAATGATAGGATATTGTTTCTCATTAATTGTAGTAAGATAAATAGACAATATATTAATTACATTTTGGACAATGACTTTGAAAGGCATAGTTAATTTCTAATCTTTATGGCAGGTCGTTATTCATCAGTTACAATGGGACAGACCATCAGTTCAGGAGAACAAGGACTCCATGTGAGTGAGATAAAAAATGAAGTACTTAGGTGTGCATCAGTACTGAAAGAGATAGCCTTGTTATCATATGGAGATTTCTTAAGGAAAGTTCAGAAACTGAACAGAATGTAAGATTTTAATATAAAATCCTAAAAATGATAATTTGATCTTAAAAATAAACATTCATTCTCAGTGCATTTAAGCATTATAATAAGCATGACATAAATGAGCCATAAAACAGTAACCGACAAAGACTTTCAATATGGAATGAAGGAAAAGAAACTTTCAAAACTTGCCAACAGTTAGCAAGAGTTGATGTCAATAGTACTTTTATTATAGTTTGTACAGACTGACCCTAATTCATTATTCAAAAAATGTTTAAAACTCGTAATTTCATTTTATTAATAAATAAAAAATTGTGTTATAGATCAATGTCTATTCCTGATTCGTATGGTAGAAAGCTTGTGTTCATTGTAAAGAAAGGAACGGATGCATCATTATTCTGGAAGGGTACTGTTCAGATAGCTTGTATAAGGGTAAGTAAAGTATTTAAATTTAGTATCTATAGAATCCGTACAAGTAATTAGGAATATTTTCTTTCGTGTATCATGTACATCCTGTGAAAGTGTTAATATGTAGAGGAAGTAAATACTGAAACAGTTAATTTTTAAAATACATTCCTAATTTGTTATCAGTAAGAGAAAAAAATCACCATGACAATCAATAGCTTATCTTTATGTAATGCAACTCTTAGTATTTTTTGTTTTAGACGATTGTTTCATCTGGAAAGATTGAGACGTATAGACTATTGAATCTTCGACAGTTTCTTCGGGTCTATAAGATAATGATCTATTATACTAGTACAGCTCCACCTTCTAGTCAAGTTAATCCAGTAAGAGAGCATGTGGCTAGTTCAACCAGTACATCGCAAGTTTCTGAAGATGAGACTGAAGTTAAAAGATATGATGAATATGCTTCTGATTGCTGTTCCATCTGGTCAGGTTCTTTGAATACATCTGTCATTCTAAATGAGTATGTATTGTATTCATTTGTATTTTTAGCTGTCTGTTTTATTTGTGTGATATTGATAATGACAAAGCCAGAGAGGGAATTTATGTGAACTTCATTTCTTACCAAACTGTGCAAGGTTTTCATAAAATGTTAGCAAATGTTTTGCATATTTTTTAGTTTTCACAAGTTAATCTTGTCTAATACACGCATATAAGATTATTCAAATCTGTTCACTATCCATACCCACATTGATGCTTGTGAATGAAATATGTAACAATGACACTCCTATTGTGATTTCTCAATGGTAATAAAATTTTGATATTACATATATTCATGAAAATTAGCTTGTCATTAATAATTTAATTTTATTTTAAAAGTACTGTAAGTTACATTTTACAACTAACTCAAGTAATGCTAAGTTTATAATTGTTTAGTATTCTGGTACTGATGTCCACCAGTAAAGTATTAAATATCCACAAAACTTGGGTTCCAGAACTGTTAAGCAGAGAATAATTTCGAAACTGTACAGCAAGTAAGGAACAGATAAAGAAAATTCTTATCATTACAATGATTGTAGTGTAAGTTTAATTTACTGGCTGGCCATATTTTATTGTAAGACTACTGCTGGTTGTGGTATCCCATGGTCCTTAAATTGTCTATGTCAATTATCATTCTTATTACATATGTTCATGGGAGACATATCTCGACTCATAATACCTTGTATAAGGCTCTTTACTACCCTTAGGAATATATGTGATTCCACTCCAGGAGGACAGGCAAGTATAAGTCCGGTGGAAAAATCTATGTAGTATGTAAACTTTGGTAAAAGATTGGTGCAAGTATATATATATATAATCTTGTATAATAATAGTCTATAGAATATTTAAACCTGACTTACTGCACAAAATAAGAATTATCCTGGACAGTTGGTTTTCTAAAAATTCCTGTTTCAAATATACATCCTTCCCAAATCTGGCTTATGAAGATGTAACAAGCATTACAAGAAAAATAACTATATGAGGATCTTTTTTTTTAAATAATTGCCAGAATATACCTTAACAAAAATATATTCTTTACTAGTTTTGGAAGGATAAATATGATTGTATTTCCAAGTATGACAAGTGTTACTTGTATGTGGAATGTATTTCATACAATTTGTTGATGCGTGGCCACCATGTTATTTTCTGTGGACATATCACATGAAGTTTTTATGAAGATGTGAATCTTTGATTATGAATTAAATTATATATATATACATACATACAACATAATGATCTTTATGATAGATTTATCTCAAAACAACTGAAGATTAAACAACTTTTACAAGTTGTACATATATCTGTATCAAAATTCAAAATGTCCAATAACTTTAGCAAATAACAACACTGTAATTTCAGTCCTCATCAGTGTACATTTAAGCACAACATTCTTCAAAATATACTGACTATCTCATCCCTCAAGTATTCTTTACTGTATCATCAGTATCATGTTCATCTTTAATATGTACCTTCGTGATATATTCTACAAATTATTTTGTTTTTCTGGATTCTAGGGTATGGTATAGACTACTTTCTTACTAAGTAAGTGGAAGGTATTTATTTTAGTCTGTGTATAAAGAATAGGAAAATATGGTGTGATTGAAATTTCAGTCATTTTTCCTATCCCATATGCATAATGAGATGTTTGTCATTTATACAACATTTCATTTCCAAGGGATTATAATCAGCCATTTGACCCGTTTAGGCTATCCCCTTTTCTGCTACCATCCTACCCCAAGCTAAATAAATAAATCTGTATCTTATATCCAACCCTGAGCCTTAAAATACTCATTTAATGTCCTATTATACTCTTTCAATGTTACACTTGAAAGCAAACTGTTTCATAGCCTGTCCACCATCATATTAGAAGCGTAACACTGCCTTAACAAAAGTTGTGTCTGGTTTTCCATATCTTTAACTTGTGACTACTGTTCTTACTGCCTACAAATTATTTTATGAAAATATCATATGTATTTATAGATTCTAAACCTGTAACAACTTTAAAATGCTCAAATATGCCCCCTTTAACCCTTTTCCTCTTCAGCAAAAACATGTCAAGAGATTTCAACCTATCCCCTCCACTCCTAGAATAATACTGGTAGCTCTTCTCCAACAACTCTACATATTTCCTTAAATAAAGTGACCAAAAACTGGGAATAATATTTTAAGTTAGGTTTAACCAACAGGTTCAGCACCCTTAATAGTGCACTGATGACCTCTTGTGCATTATCTAAATCCATGGTATATACTGAAACATATTTCTAATATAGGTGTTTTTTCTTTATTGCATAATAAACTTTGATGACTAGTAAGATATTTTCTCCCAGCATGTTCAAGTGACATACGGGTCTTAATCTCAGTCATTTCATTAGTACATGGTAAAGTTAAGCCTACTTTACCATCCTAAATATATATAAAAACATATTTAAGGGTAAAGCCTAATCTTTTTTCATTGTTACATTGTTTTTATTGCTCACTATGCAAACGTTCAATGTAAATGTAAGCTTAGGTCAGAATTTTTAAATATTTTTGGGGCAAACATTTTGATTTATTCTTCATGCTACTGAGTTATGCTATGCATAAATTGCTAAGTAATTTTACTTTTATACATTTACAACAAGAATAATTAAAATAAGAAGATAAGCCAAATTTTCATAAATTTAGTTCATATAGTTCTACATCCAAGTCAAAGTCATATTTCGTAGAATCGCAAACAACACAGTTGAAATAACTGCTAATTTCTTCCTTCTTTAACTAGTACAGTATGTGTTGTGTGTGTATATATATATAAAGGTGAAATATACAAGTTTCAATGTAGGTGTTCTTCATATAGTTATCCTTGTGTACCACATATATAAAGATCATAAACTTACACATGCTTAGTTGAAGGTTTCATATTGCAATGGCTATTTGATGGACACTTTACTAGTTTGACTCTTTGTCTACTCCCTGGAGTTGAATAAGCCCATTTCAGGGGATAACACAGATACTTATGCAAGTTAGTATGAGTTGGGAAGTGTTTTTTTTTATCCTTGTATGCATTATTTGGAAAAAGTATTGACATAAGTAATCCAAAGATTATGGGATACCATATAACATCTTGGTCTAAATTAAAAGTGTGATATTACATTATTCTTTACTTTGCCCTTGTCCTGGGTGGATGTAGTTGGAACTCTCATTCTAGCCCCAACAACCAGACAGAAGTCAAATGAAACAAGAATCTTACCAGTAGGTAGAAGGCACAAACACATCAATGTGTTGTTATTATTTGTAGCATTCGTTAACAAGTGTCATTTATTTATTTTTGCTATCCATTCATTAAAATTCTCTGCAACATTTCTGGAACCTGCATTTTACAGTAACATGATCTTATCTGGCAAGGTTAGGAGTAGTTGTTCACATGATGTGTGAAATCCCAGGGCCATAGGGAGGAATCCCATTTTTTGATAACCATTTTCTAGATCAGATGCAATTTTTTTAAAATCTGGAATACAAGTCTGTCATTTCCAAAGCAAACCACTCCTCTCTAAAATTTTTCCATGATATATATAGTGTTACGCAGTGCCAATTTAATAATCCAATTACATGGAAATCTGTATAGGCACTGCATCCAGTAACCTGACTGGTATGTCTTCATATCAAATAGCATGAATACCTGTTTTATTCTCCAGCTGCTGGAGGTATGTAACAGTTGAACATATATATTGTGAAAGCAACAAGTGTATATGTAGTTTGTGTTGCTTTTCCAGATTGAGATCTTTTTTTGATTATATTGTGTACTATTGCCAGAGATACATGAATATCTTTTGCCAATGACCTTTATATTTGTGGATTTTTGATTGTTGTAAGATGCCATAGCTGGTGTATGACTTGTTGGTAGTCTTTTTCTGGATGATGCTAGTGCTCCAAGATGATCTTTATTCCATTGTTTTCCAATGCCATTAAGCATAAGAGAAATTGGAAATTCTCATGATCTTTATGATCCACATACCCTTCCCAAAAATGATCAGTTTTAGGTGGCATCACATTACCTACAAAATGCCAAACAAAGTCAGAATGTAGATCTGATACTTGCCATTCCACCAAACTTTACATCAACTATGGTTGTTACATGACTTAGCTGATTTGCATATTTAAAATAATTTTAATATAAGATACTCAACCCTCAGTATAAGCTCTACTTTCCGACCATAATCCAAAATTTGTAGTTGCAGTCGTGATGGTAACCATATCCTCTCAGTTGTAGGTAGGAGTGTATTTTAGAGGTAAGTACCTGTTTGAAGTTCATTTTAATTCTTAAAATATAAAACTTAAAAAGAGACAGACTTACCTTTGAAATACAAAAAGCCATAACACCCACATTGAGATGGAGGAGGGAGCTGGAGAGAGTTGTAAGGACCAACAAACTTTGGGACCTTAGATAGATAAGTAATAACCTGGACCACAACAATTGAAAATGTGATCAAGCAGAGAAGAAGAGAATCTAGAACCAGAGTAAATTTAATGAGCTGCATTCATGAGAAAATGAGTGGAATGAACCAGCCTCATAAGAGACTGAACCAAAAGAGGTCTCAGCAGGATACTTTCTTGTCCTCATTACCCTTTATATAATATATAAAAAGAGGAGTTAGGTGGTATGTATTTCCCATTGAAACTGACACATTCTCAGATGGTGGCATAACATGTAGTGAGAATTAGATCACAATGCATTGTCCTGTATACCTGTAGTGGGAGATTCTTAGAGGAGTAGACCAGTAACAGCTAATGACTGGACATGCTTGTGGGGCAAAAATCCCCTACATTCACATCTGATGAGGTCAGCCAAGTCCTAGAGTATTATTATATTTTAAACAGACCATGTTTTTATAACCGAATTATTTCATGACTCTAGACTCCCCTGTAACTGTTAAATGGATTGTCGGAACATAAAATAATGTGCGGGTTACCATGTGCAAAAGTGATGTGAACCCAAGTGTTAAATAAGCAGGTAACAGAGAATAACTCGCCTGTTAGGGGCTCCATCTGACTTGAAGAATCAGAACTAGAGGTAATATGTAACTGATTAGATATAACCCAGATTCACAACTATTGTGTTCAGGAATATCATGGTAAACAACACAGATCAATTGCACAAGCCGCTGTTAATGTAGCCAGAGCAAGATCCAATGAGCATGATTAGTCATAAAGTATAAACAACTTTTTCCAAGATCTTATATGAAATTCAGCATGTACAAGATAACAATGACAAACCTTGAGAAAACATAAAAGTGTTCCTCTGAATGAAAATAAAAGATCAGTCAAAGCAGGTAATACAATAAATCAAAAACAGTTCGATAAGGGCCAGTAATACAACCACAGAAACTCTGCATACTGGAGGCAGACTATACGAGTAAGGCTGCATGATAAGTTGTAAAAATTCCAGTATTGGTAGAAACGTTTGCAGTAGTAGTAAATGACTTGTGAACTTGAATTGAGGGAAGTTAGCAGCACAATTGTGAACAAGAAAGTCTGAATTATGATGGGAAACCAGAAATTATATACATCCTTCTGACACAAGTGCAACATGTTTTGTGAGAGAGTAGAGAACTATTGGTAAGTTGACAAGTGCTGTGCATTGTGTCAAAGATATTAAAAACTTTAGTCATATGTTTGTTGACAGCATGAGAGCAACTCAACAAAGAAAGGCTTTTCATATTTCAAAGATAAGTCTGCCTGTTTTGAATTCTTGTTAACAATTTTGTAAACATTGACTGATGCTGACACTTCTAGGAAATCAATAATCAAGAACTGTTATGGAGATAAATTTATAACAATTTCAAAGGAAGGTACTGGAAGCACAGTGTATTATGGCTGAATGAATGAGAGTGATATATCTGTGTGAAGTTTGTGGAAAATTTACAATTAATGAACATGTAAGTTTTTGACAGTAGTAGATAATAATTGCTTTCATTGCCTTAGAATTCACAGTAGTATTATCCAAATAAATCAAGATTTTGAAAGGTGCATACAAACAGTCTGTGCAGAAGAGATCTTATAGTTTCAATATATATCATAATTAATTTTTACCATATGATTGTAAATAACAGTTCTGAACATGGTCTCTCCATACATCTAGTTTTCTTTTGAAATATGAAATACACTTTCCTGTTATAAAGATCTCCAACTAAGGTACTTGAGATACAGTCTATTATGACTGAATGAATGGAAGCAATGTGTCAGTATGAAGTTTAGGACAAACTTACATTGAATGAATATATTTTGATCATTTTTAGGTAGTTTTGAATGAAAGAAGTAATTTGTATAATACACATACTTCATAAAAAATGTACTGTATTTGTAACCTATTTGTTTTTAAAGTAATTTATAAAACAATAGCTACAACATTTTAAACTCCTAATGAACATGGGATTATGGATCAAATTCACAGATGTTTTTCATTCATTATTTGGTTAATTAAATCCTCAAACAACATTTGATAAAATATCTGCATTTAATTTAATTTCAAGAGTTCAGGGTTATACTGTTTCTCTTTATTACATAATTTGGTTTTAGTTGCAAGAGTATTTGTAGTAAATCATCACATAATGCATCTTATCAGCTGTATTTTTAAGCATTAGATGATTCTTAGGGTAGGTTTTACCTTGGAAATTAATTAAGTGATTGATTAATTATTGGAAGGAAAGGTTTATACATTTAAAAAAAGAAACATATAAAAGTCTCATTGATTAGTTAATACTTACTTCAAAATAAAATAAATTGGTATCTAACCTGTAATCCAATACTTAATGCTTATAAAACTTAAGCAAACTTATGGTTAACATAAGTTGTGGCTTTACATGTTATATTCTTCAGCATGTTGTGAACAGTGCTTTAGTGTGTCTTGAATTTTGTTGAGGTTTATCACCTTATACCTGCTTAATATTTTATGCATGGAAACTTCTATGTGGTTTGTAGACTTTAAGTGAAGTTTAGTTTTTAGATAAAAAATGTAGAGACAATTTTCTTTTAAATTACATATCTTAAAAAATGCAATTGATAAAAGGCAGAAAACCTTCAAATCCACGTTTTCAAGCTGTCACTGTTTATGTAAAAATATAACAATCATCTTTATTTAAAGTTAGATTTCAATATTTACTGTATTAATTTTGTAATTAGAAAATATTGGAGATAGTGAAATTGGAAAATGTTGATTTTTTTTGTGGCTGAAGACTATTGTTAAAGTATCTGTATAATGTTTTTTCAACTTATATCTGTTTTATTCAAACATATTTCTATGAACTTGGGTTTTGAAGACTCACAAAACTGTCTTCTATTCTATTTCATCTTTAGAATTACTGCTGTGACGGACATAGCCACTGACCTGGATGAATGTTGTATATGTATGGAGAGAAAACCAGAAACTACTTTGCCTTGTGCTCATAGCTATTGTATACGCTGTATTGAACAGTGGCAAGTGATCTTAATATCAAAAATATTATTAGATTTTTTGAACAGCCAGAATGGCATAGCTATTTAAAAACTCAGATTCATTCAACACTGACTAAAATAGATATCCTAAATTGTTTATTAGTTTAATATTTGTATAATGCTAAAGCGTGCTGGCAGTAGGGGTTATTTTATGTGTTATTATAGGATAAATGTTAGCAAATGACTTCTTACTAACTAGAAAACAGAATGAATGTGAAGCCTAATCTATCATTTGATTTACCACTTGTAACTGAGTTATACTGGTTTTGGGAAATTTTACCCCTCGTCAATAACCTTGAACAAGGACAATTAAAAATAATAAGACTAGGTTTTGTATAGTAGTGGAGTATATAGTATATTTATGATGTCTTTAACTTTACACCTACATATAATACACCATATGAAACCTACTCTTTATTCCTGTCTGGAGTTACTGATGAGTGTGAAACTCCCCAAAACATAGTGACAAGTGGTAGATTGGGTTTCACTTTTATTCTTTCGTTTTTGAAACAACTTGACTAGTTAAATAATTCACAAGAATACATTTGTAGTATCAATGCTGTATACTTTTGAAATACCTATATAAATATAGGATCATTGTGTCAATAAGACATCTCAAAACACCATACACAGGTACTAATATCTAAAAAGAAAAAAAAAAGTACAAAAACGAACTTTTCAATGTTTGTGTGTGTATATATATGACCTCTCAATTGCATGTTTAATATCAACAAATGTAATTTAGCATTTTTTTTAGTAACTTTATTCTTTTTCTTGGCTACAATGTTACAATTGTGTGAAATTTAAAAAATCTGATTTTTTTTGTCAGTTATAAGTATGAGGGACTAGTTAAGTACTCCAAAGAACAGACCAAATAATATTTTTAAGCATATTTTTGTCAGTTGTTAAATACTACTCTAAACGTGTAGAAACATATTTACTTTGTAATGGAGTACAGAATTATAAGAAGATGCCAGATTTCACTAGTTATTTCTTTTAGGAATGTATCCCACAACACTTGTCCATTGTGTCGAGAAAAACTTGAAAGCACTGATGATTCATGGGTAATATCTGAGGCTCCAAATTCTGAAGAAATGCAGCAAGAACTGCAACAAGCTTTATTATGTCTAGCAGAAGAGAGGCCTTGTGATAGCCCATAGATACAATGTTTTGCTAATACGAAGTATTGAAAACCAGTGATGGTTACTACTATATTGATGTCATCTGATGAAGGCATTTTACTGACATTATTTTGTAGCAGTACAACATACAGTGATATATGGTTGAGGCATTACACCTCTAGTGTCGACTCTAATGAAATGTGATTTCAGTATTATATCAGCATCACCTAGTTATAGAGGTGATAGGTATTACATCCGTTTAGGGTGGTATCTCTGTGTCATACAGAAACCATGTAAGGTTTGTATTATGCAGCTTGGTATTGATTCTTCATGCATATCTTTGTATAACTATGTAATTATTTGTGATATAATTTCAGTTCCTCCTAACTTACTGTTGTTTTTAAATAATGAGTAATTAAAATACCAAGCAACGTGTAAAGGATATCAGCATGTAAGCAGCTTTGTTGTTAAAAAGTTAGACAAATTAAGTAAAAATGAATTCAAAGCAAATATTATTCAGTAACTACTACTGCAAAGATAAAGAAGGCTGGTGAGCCAAAAGTAAGAAAAAAACTAATAAAAGTTTTAATTCAAAAGTGGCCAAAAGCTAAGCAAAGACTTTTTTTTTTTACCTGTTTATTTGATATATATTGATTTAAAGATGGTTTTATGTTATGATTAATTCCTTTGACCACACTCTTCACACTTTCCTGTTTTGTTTTGCTAACTTCATACAGCATATAACGAAAGTGTTCCTTTTTTATATATTTTTCTTCTAAAATTTCATATGGTAAGCTGGAATGCAATTATTACATTAACAATCCTTACAACTGTTACATTTGTGCACAGTACATTTAGTTAAGAATTACAAGACGGATGATATATTACTTTGGTTCGATAATATTTAACCCTAAAATTGGGAGTCAGCTATACAGAAATTAGTGGCTGCTTTGATTATCAGGATATCTACCAAACTATAAAATGAACTAAAATTGTTCTTTCAACTATAACTTAGTGATAGAACTTTCAAACAATATAACATCTGTACTCAACAATTCAACTCTTGCAGAGAAATCTTTGTTTGAAAGTGAGTATATTTTGGTGGAATACCACCGAGTGTACAGTGTGTCCTAGATGTCATGAAAATGTTGGAAAACATGCTTATTGAGCAATTCAAGGTTAAAATATCTTTGCTTTGGGAAGACTTTTCATCAACATCATGTTTTTGGAGTTTTGTATTTTTTGAAGCAAGAGATTGAACCCTAAACTCATGTAATTTTATATGAGAAATTGGTCTAGCATATTTTCTTTTGCTCAAAATTGCTGCCAAAACATGTCAATTTCTGTATAAATGACTCTTGAGTTTCAGTTTAAGATAAATCTTCAGAGCAAAGGAAGTACTTTAAATAATTATTCTATAATATTGGTCACAAAAGTCTTAATTCAAACCATAAGTTTCATTTCATTCATTTACAAGAAGTGTTAAGTATCCTTTAATTTTACAAGAGTGTATTACTTTTAATGTTAACAAATTCAGAAATCAATTCATCTCCTATGACAATTGTTAACAGGAAAGGGTACTGATAATTGTTTATCCATATAAAAACAAATTGATCCAGTAGTGAATAGGATAGTTTAGGCCTTTGATACCAAAACGACAGATCCAATAAGTGAATGGTAGGATGCTGTTTTTCAATATAAAAAGACAGTCCAATAGTGAAGAAATGAGTTTAGGACTGATCTTCAGAATCAAAAGATTAAGGGAAGGGTCCAAGTTTGAAATGGTGCCAAAGAACAATAAAAAAAAAAAGACTCGGTTTCTAAAAACCCTAACCCTTTAGAAATGCTTTGTAAATATTAATTATATTTTTTGTTTGTGTGGTAAGAGTTTACTACAGTGCAAGTCTAAACTTGTACATGTTGCATATTAAGTAGTATGAATGAAAACTACTACTATAATAATCTTATCTGGTAATGTAAAGAAATTATAAATTACCCTCTTGAAAGACTGATGTTATTAAATGCACTCAATGACTACAAACTTATCAAATGATTTCTTTCTTAATCACAAACGAGTTTAGTGATAAAAATGGTTTAATTTGCTTTACTGCTGCGGTTAATAACTTGTGTGTATAGTACATATAATTGAGCTTCAGGTTACTGACTAAAATAAATTATACATTCAAGTGCAATATTAATGCAGTAAAAATGTCACATGTACAGCCATCTAACACAAGTCACATATTCAAATTGATATAAGACTGAGTTAAGGAATTTTCATTAAGAAAGCATACAGGATCACATACAGAAGTTGTAATGGTTTTCAAATGAGACCATATATTCTCCTGAAGAATAACAGCGAACTATTCGAAAGTGCTCGAGTTTTGGGTTTAGTTTGAAAACCATTAAGGAATGTTCATCTTGATAAATGCTAAAGATAACATACAATAAAACTTTGAATGTTATATAGTTTTGTTATCCAAAGATGGTTCAACAATGAGCATGATGAATGTGAATTATTACAGATATCAAGCATGATGTGTAGTTTTATCCTGAAGATTTTAGTATAAGCAAATATACATCATGCGGTACAATCGTACTGCTATGCAAACAAAAATGCTAACTTTATTTCAGTCTAAGACTATATTAATGATCATAAAAAAAACATTGTTTAATTTTGGTATGTGAAAACCTTTCACAACCAATTTTGTTGACATTATTATTTTTATAAGGTAAACTTTATTTTTGTTACATACTATCACTGCATACTATGTAATAAATCATTCAACGTACATAATAGTCCTACAATATTAAAGGTAATCCAAGGAGGCAAGATATGTAATAAAAACAACTTTCACAAATAATCCTGTTAAAATTTAATTAATATTTCATCAAATGTTACAGCTTTTTAAGATTTAATTTAAAAAAAAACAACATTTAGAATGCTTCTACGTAAGTTTAAATTTACATTTTGAGTTCATGCTTCCAAATGTATGAAATTCTTCTTGCTTAATTAGGTGAAGCAATTATAGTTTACTCCATTTAACTCATTTTGGTGCATTTTAATGTTAAACCAAGACACTTAAAGGTGTGTGTGTGAAAATGTGGACACTCAGCTACATTAGTCACAGTGAAGAATTGTAATTGACTGCTTTACTTTTTGGATGTTCAGTCACTAGATATGATTTGATGCTAAAAATATATGTACATGTAGTTAAAGTTATTTGTTAAAATGAAAGCTTTATCATCATTTATACAGTAGTTTGACAAGGAACAGATTGATAGCTGCTGATCAGTGTCATCTGTGTATCAAAAGGGGACTATAAAAATTTAGAGATTGGTAGCTTTAATCTTTGTCATATTTGATATTAGGGTTTATTTATCAAAGATATGATCTAAACAACAGTAATTTATAGACCTTTAATCCTATGAAATAATTGTGTTTGCCATGCAATGAATAATATAAAACTGTTAAAAGTTGGCAAGAGAAGTAGCAACCAATATGCTTAACTTTTGTCTCTCATCATCTAGCTCAACTGACAAGTTCTGATGTCAAACCAAAAGCCTTTTGGGTGGCAAAAAAAGACAAAAGAATAATCAGAAATGGTAGCTTTACACAGACATTTTGTTTAATATCAGAAAAGGGCAAATTTAAGAAGAAAAATAGAAGAAAAAAAACATTGTACTTTAATTATATCACAAATGTTAAGCTTATTGATGAAGTATGTGTTTGTGTTGAAGTGAATTATAACTTTCAAAGACTTGAAAGAAATGTTCTCATATTTCATAATGATAGTAAATCTGATAAAGAAGTGCATGTTTGATAGTTGCTTAAAGCAGCATTTCCTGACCATTGGTTCATGGATAACCTTTTTGCAGGTATACAGAAATGTCCCGAGTGGAAAAAAATAAAGAAAAATGTTTTGTGAAATATTTGCTTTCCATGCAATTTACCTCCTCCTTTCTGGTTTGTTGTAAACCAAATAAGCCTCAGAGCTTTGCGAAGAAGCTAAGAAGAAAAATAATAAGTTTATGTACTCATAACAGTTCTTAAGTGTTTCAAAAAATATTATGGTAGCTCCTGGAGTGATAATGGTTGTGAACCAGTGGTTTAAAGAACTAACTGCAGCTTATGTTTCAGAAATGATCACTTATTTCAATCTACGTGCCATTGTTGTAACATATATGGTGCAAGTGACTAAAGTATGTTGGTTTTTTAAAGGGAAAATTAAAATTCTCCTGTCCTAGCTCTAGTCTGAATGTGTTCGCAGTAACAACACGGCTTTGGACTATCAAAGATTAAGTTCTTTGAATATTTATGTAAATCACAAGTGGTCAACATAACTTTATAATGTTGCTACATATCCTTTTTCTATGATGAAATTCTGAGGATTGTTTTCCAACTTTCTTATCAAGAGTTTCTGAGGAATGAGGTAGACATGAATTCTGCTCCTGAAGCTAATCCCACAGGTTCTACAGAGAATACTTGGCCAGTTTATTCTCACAATAATCTACTGTTTACAGCAGCAGGCAGTGACTACATGTGTACTTTAGAGAATAAGAATTTTCATCTATCAAAGTTAAGTGACCAATAGCACTACTGAAATGCTTGACAATTTTTGCCAGAATGTCAATCCTATAACCTATATCACCATTATTGATTATGTACACATGCTCATTGGAGTGAATTTCTTCCCACACTTTGCCTATTGTTACTGCCTATCTTGAAAGAAAAACTACTATAAGAATGGACTCTCCACCATTTCGTTTTTTGAACTTCCACCCCTCTAGAGCTTGTAGACATGGGACCAGCTTTAGTGAAGAACCTAGTCTATCTCGCTCACCAGACTTCTGGTAAAGAAATGGAAAAAATTTCCCCACAACTCTTCTAGGCTTAAATAGGGTTGAGATGGACTACTTGTTAAAAACTACCAAAATATTTTTACAGTCCCTGAGAAAATGTTGGTACTAAAAATCAACAAGCGTGACATGCGAGGAAGTTGCTTTAAAACGTTATACTTGCACAATACGTGTCAATACTTTGTGTAATTTTATAACTTAAATAAATTTTGAAATTAACTTCTATAGTACTTTTTGTGACATAAAATATTTGTGGTAAGAAATTCAATGAACCATTTAAGAAAAAGAAGTTTATTACACAACACACTGTGTGTGGGCTGCTTTGCTCTTTGTCTCCAAACTCTATACTTCAAGAGTCAAATGGGCAAATAGCTTCCATGCCTTTAAATCTTGTTTTATCCCAAATACTTGTAAAGTTAAATGTCACGCACAAACATATTTCCTTAACATTCACTTTTATCTAAATTTTACACAACCACACAGCACTGGACACTTCTGGCCCACTTAAGATATAATACTCTGTTTACAAGGAATTCCTAATTTTTTTTCAACAACAAACATTATTCAATAAAATGGATTTATTTTAGATTTATTTCAATATTTGTAGTTAAAGTTATTATTTTAGCTGTTAAACACTTTAATCTTGTGTTAACAGATAAGTATAATTATGACATAAGTGTCAAGCATGAGTAAACAACAACATCAATATATAGTAACTTGTGCTTTATGAAGTTCTACTTTTGAATCACCACCAATCAGTATTACTACTTGACAGCTGTTTTTTTAATGTATCCACATATATATATATATATATATGCACATATCTGAGTAGTGGTACTTCTGCAATACAGGGAAATTTCAAACTGGAAACTTGGGTACCAACTTAAAAATATTTTTGAAGCTTTAGCACTAAAATTCAGCCCCCATCCTGTATTCACTGAGCAATATGTGAAATTTGTTGGAGGAAATACACTGCCACCTCACATAAACCTGTATATATACATCTACAGATTTATGGTTTCTGATTTGAAACCACTCAAATATTTTTTTTATTTTTTCTTTTTACAAACTCCTATATACAAAATGAAGCAGACATAACAGCTTAAGCTACCAAGCAAGTTTCACTTCCAATTCTATACATATTCATTCTGTAGATTACTATTACAATAATATTTAAAAGTGGCTGTGAGTACACTATTAATAAAATCAAAATACAGAAAATGAAGTTTCGATGGTTGGTTTTTATCAGAGCAGAAATATCAATTCACCATGTTATAATGCACAATACACAAGTAAGTTAATCAAAGTATACAATTATGATATACAGTTTTGTGTCACCACACTTAATGACATCAGAAATCCCTTTTTCTTTAGTAAAATGTTCAATGGTTGAACTCAAACAAATTAATTGTATAAATATTCAGTTTTATAACCCATTCACTTATAAATATTCAGTATTTCCAAGGAATCACAAAGTTGTTATTAGAGCTACTGGGTCTTGAAAGCTTAACAGCCCACTCCAAAAATCATAATGACAGAGAACAAACCTTTATACACCAATAACTGCTCAAGTCAAAACCACACTGAACCAGCATTAGCACTGTTGTTATGACAGTCATTTTAGGGCTAGCAGTTACCTTTTTTTTTCTACTTACTGAACATGCACGTGTATACTAAAAATGTTGTTGGTTAACTCTAATAAAATTCGTTAGCAATTCACCACGTACATCTAAGGTTAACTTATACAAAAAATTTGATTCTCATACAAAAATGAAATACTAGTACACAATATTAAAATGAAATAAACCATATAATGTTCACTTGTAAATATGAATTAGTAGGTGTATGGCTGCTTCTTGAGCAATTATGTTAAAACCATCCAATAAAAGATTAACTTTATGAGTTAAAATCTAAAAATGTGCTTTTACTGTGCAAAATAAAAACTCAAGCACCTACAGATGCAGTCAATCTAAGCCAAACACAAAAAAAAAGACCACAAATAATGTGATATGAGTATTAAGTGTTATCAGTTCTAAATTTTTTATTACGAGAGGTTAAATGAAGTATTAAGTTTCATAGTGTGGATGTAATAAAAACATTAAAAATGAAAATGGTGTAAACTAAATAACAATGATCCAATATCTGAAAATTCACAGACAGACCTAGAAATGCTCTATCTGAAGCTTGAATGCCATTTTTTTTTTTAATTTCATAATTTTACTTGATTATGTTACCAATTTACTTGGTCCACATTTTACAATGATAAATGAGGTAAATTTGTTACGAATAAGAACTTGCATTAAAATGTTTATAAACTATTTGCTATTACAGTATTTTTACCATCTCTTGACTGACCTAGTACTAAAAGTAAAGTCAAAAAGCTTCATTTCTTAACATTTTTCGAAATTTCTTCTAGTGTTTCATAGTTTTTAACTTTTCAGGTTTATATTTTCTTAAATATGTATTCTCTGTCAACAACTAGTCTTAAACTACATAAAACTTTTAACATTTTCTTTCAGTATCTGACTTAAAAATTTAAATGTCTTCACTGATTCCTTATGCAATACAAAAGTTACACAAACATTAAGAGTTGAAAAGTGAAAACTCACATTAACGAAGCATAGGAATCTTGTTAAACTATAGAGAACATTTTCAGTCCCTGCAGTGACTAAACTGGCCTACAAATGAACTGAAACACAAAATACACCTGGTTTTTCTTACTAAGAAGAATCAATATTAAATACCAATCCAAAGGATCAATAGTGATATACAACACAGCAGATGAAAAAAGAAGTTCCTATCTAAAACAACATGGATACAAAAAAATGAAAAGCCACAAAAGTTGTATAACAATTAAATATATTGAGGCTTAAAATAATTGTTCGTATTTCCCTTACATACTTGGGCAGCCAATAGTCAATTTTTTAAATTTTTTACGTAAGGTTCTAATGTAACCTTACACATCTTACAACAACAAACACAGGTTAAATACCATATATGCACATAGCAGTACTAGAAGGATAAATAAGTTTCTATGTAGTTTTCCTTGATATGTAAAATACCTGAAAATCTGTTTTGCAAAGAAAGGATGTATTAATGGGGATTGTAAAGAACTTTCATGTAAAGTTATTTTGGGTTCAACCCCATTTGTTCTCAGAAATAAAGCATTTGGAAAGCTACCTGAATTGTTTGATAGGCATGAGTAATTCTATAATATGACATCTTAATTCTTGCTTTGTTGTGCCCCATAAAGAATCGTGCACAGCTTACCTGTCCTCTACTGTATCAATTATTGATACTTTTAATTCCAGATTCTCTCTTTCTGCATATGTTATCATAAAATGAGAAAACAGCAACCGTGTCTTTCATATTAACCCCTGATAATTTAGCTTTTTCAGATCATTTGAAGGAGACTAGGCCTCATGATGATCTGGCCTACTAATCATAACATTTATTCAACTTCTCATGCCACAGCAATCTGTGTGTTACCCCAGGGTAGCTTGTATTTGGGCTAACTGACACTTAACTATCTCACTTGGTTGAAAATTAGATATATTATTAAAACTGATATTGAATTGTCAATATAGATCAGATGACACATAGCTAGGTTAAACAACTGTTTATGATGTGTTGGCCAACCAAGCCTTCATAGGTTGTACACCTCAAGTCATTTACTCATAAATGCTACATAATGACCAAGCAGTTTTGAGGTGGCTATAGTATACAATACTAGTTACACTTTTCCATATTTTGTAAATCTTTCTTCCAAACCATTAAATGGTCAAGTGATCAAAACATCATACTATTTATACAAAGCAGACACAGACTGGTCAAACAGTCACATACATTACTGACTCGTCACAAAATCTTGCCATCGAACCCATGAAGACCGGTCAAGTAGTCACATGTTGTATGCCACGTAGATTGGATCAAGCTGGTCAGCAAGAAACCCATCTCGGAGATGCATCCGTTGCTTTTCTCCTCGAGAGTTGATTGGAACGACACCAGGGTCCACCACAACAACCACACCAACAATAAGCTGATGTTCTTCCAAGACTACGTTGGTCACTAGAGGTACTAGATCAAGAGCCTCATTCTCATTTCCATCAAGCTCTACTACCACAACTAAAAGGTTGGTCCAAGTGAAAACAGCACTGAAGAAACACAAAATATTTCATTTTAAGAAACTTAAGCTTCTGAATAAGAGTAAGCACAAATATAAAAAATGGTAGAAATAATACACTTTTCCTAAAAGATTTGACTGCAATCTTTTCTAAAACACTGAAATTCCACTATAAAAGCTTAGTTTTTGAAAAGAAAGTAATTTTTTAACAATAGTTTTTATAACCAGGCTGATATAACAATTAAGTATTCCACTCTATTTCATTGGTAATTTCAAAATTAAAGCATTTTTGACAAAACCCAATTTATTTGACTTCTGTAGTTTGTTTGTAATTGAGCATAGAGCTAAACAATGGGCTATCTGTGCTCTGCCCACCACGGGTATCGAAACCCAGATTCTAGCATTGCAAGTCCGCAGACATACCGCTGTGCCACTGGGGGACCTGTAGTGTGTTTGTAAGGTGTTTGAACTGTCTTTTACTACCCATGAGTAAACCTTTATTAATGATAATATATATAGAAATTAGAAAAATTAATAGCATGAGTGCTACTGATCTGATTTTCAATATGTTTTAGCAGACAAACTACTAGATAAGTACTTTTTCTTTCTGATCATTTAAATTGTAAATTTCATTCCAGGAATATAAAGTCCAGTATATTTGTATACCTGCCACCTCACTGATGAGTTAGAAAAGTTATGAGGAATTCCAGTCTTCATCAGTGAGCCTGGACATAGGAAAATAAATATGTAGCAGTAATGTTATTTGTTCTTCAAATACTTAAATGCATATATGCTACTTATGGTAAGTATGATTGAAAGCCAATTCAAAAAACATACGCATCAAATGCAGTTCACCACTACAAAGAGTCTGGTTTGTTAAAAATAAACATCTTTAGAAATATGTAACTCACCACTCAGATATCTTTTTGTGACAGCGTAAAACACTATTTTCTATGTCAATTGGATGATACCTCATGCCTCGCAACATAACTGTTTCATCAAGAGATCCTACTACAAACACTGCATCATGAAGTTCTGAAAAAGTAACCCAAGGAATGTTTTAATTCTGTCTCCTTACTCAATTTCCAGAAGAAAAAGAAGGGAGGGGGGATATTATTTAATAAACAAATTTATAGAATATTTTTCTAGTTTGTTTTTTTCAATTCAGTCAATTATCACAAAATATTACGGTCACAATTAATGGAATCTCTAAAATAAATTACCGAATTTTTAGTAATACACACACTATTCTAAATTTTCATTCGTACATGATAAGCAAATTTAATAAAGTAATATATAGTTTGATGCATAAAGTATAGGCCAACTCTTGTTGGTTTAACCCATTTACTGAAGCTGGGACACACGTTTTCAAGTGCAGTGGGAAATACTTGTCCCAGCCGCAGTGAAAGGGTTAAAGATGACTTCAACTTGGCAATCAGCAGACTTTCTCTTATCAATAACTAACGTACATCATCAGGTCTATTTGATATTCTAAAATCATTACCAGTAACCCCAAAATTACATACAGGGAAAACATGCTCCATAATACTGAACAAAATACCTAGTCTATTCTGTGTATGTTTATGAATGTTTCACCACCTACTGGTAGATCCTATGAACTTCTTGGCAAAGCCATAACATTGAAATTAATACACAATGAACCACCTTTTCAGATTTTGATTTTATTCTTAAAACTAAAAATAAAAAATTTATGGTTGACTCATAAAATGCATGTTAGTTTTATTTGGTACAGTAGGGAAGGTAATTTTATGGAGTGTAGCTCAAATGTTTTATCCCTTGTCTATTTTTTGTATTAATTTCATTATTTATCATAAATTGTTATTAATTTCATTATTTATAATAAATTGTTATTAATTTCATTATTTATCATAAATTGTTATTAATTTCATTATTTATAATAAATTGTTATTAATTTTATTATTTATAATAAATTGTTATTAATTTTATTATTTATAATAAATTGTTATTAATTTCATTATTTGTAATAAATTGTTATTAATTTCATTATTTGTAATAAATTGTTATTACTTACAATAAGTGTGATAGGCAAGCAGTGTCATAGGATTTTTTTTAATGTGATATGATGTTAAGAGCTTAGATATTGCAAATAAAAAAGTTCCTCTTGCTCTCTAGACTTAAATATGGTAAAAGTGTCACCCCTATAATATCTATAGTATAGCAGTTTGATTTTATTTGGACATTTATCGAATCATTGCTTTTCATAAAGGTATAAGAAAAGGTTAGCCATTGCCAGCATTTGTCTAGAACCTACACTGGCCCTATAAATCTTGTCATACATACACTCATTACAAATGAAATGAAATTCTTTTACAGCAAATGACATTACTTTTGAAAACACATTTTTATGAACTCCATTTACAGTGCTCTCTTCTGAATAAAACTGTATTACAACATAAAACAATATTTTCTTTCAATAGAATGTTGATGTACAATGATTCAACACCAAAGCTGGCCAGGCAAATGTCATCAAACTTTAAATTTTGAACTTCCTTAGACAAATCAAAATTACTTTTCATGCAAACTAATTACGTATACATGCTATGAAAACTGTGATTAAAATGTCCGATAAGTCATGGTTGTAAGTACTAATACTGGAAATTATTGGCCTTACAGGAATATTGACTTTATGGATTTTGGTAGGCTGTAAGTGACACAGTCTTTCAAAACCACTTATATCAAGTTATCCTTCTTGAACTTAAGCAGATATCTCTGTAATTTTATCCTTTACTGATATAGGACCCCTTAACCAATTTCTTAAACTTAGTAATATCATGAATTATTTTCTTGCCAAGTTGATGTTACCCAGTTTTAATTGGTATCACTACCTTGTTTCCTTTACCTAGTTTTATAATAACTGTTGTTTTTTACTAAGACTTTTAATAGTTTCAATTTCTTCTATATGGTTATATGGCTTTTTCCAAAATTTATAGTTATTTTGATATATTAAGTTTCATGGTTTAAAACTTTCTTCTGTATACAGTAAAACAACATTTGCTTTAAGATCTATCAGCAACAACTAGAAGGTGTACAAATAAGTATCAAACTGTAAAATGTTTTGGAGGTAAACCATCAGTACAAATAGGTTGCTAATATGAATAATAGGAATTTCTAATACTGTAATCATATAAAGCTTCATAGTGTTACATTCCATATAATCAGTTCAACAGAGGTGACATCACTTAAAACTATAGTAGATATAACAAAATAATTTTGGCAACTGACAACGTTTTAATACATTTCACTACTTACTATGTCTCTGAGAATGCATTTGGTTTTTCAGCACACATAGTAATGGATGCAGTATGTTGTTAGGATCATTTACGAGAATTCTTATAAAAAAAAAAGCATCTTCACATTTTAGCATTTTAATGGATTGTAAAATATAATTATAGAAAGATTATTATTTCTACAAACTACTAAATAATTAAATGAGATATCAGATTTTTTAAAAGTTTCTCACCACCATCTGCTTGTACAGACTCAGTTCTTCTTAAAAATCCTAGGTAGCCTGTGCGTGCATACGTCTGTGCTGTGTCACCTGTGATCAAACGTGCATTAAAGTGGTCATTATGGAGAGATTCATCCCCATAAATAGTGAAGTAACCAGTAGAGTTGTGAGGGGACTGTATCCATATCTGTCAAGATATTAAAACTTGTAAATACTAAAACCAATTTCACAAAGATAGGTCTGTAATTGTCTTCAGTAGATAGAATGAAATAGCTTTTTATTTTTTCATTTCTAAAAATGCTTACAAATATGTATTGTTATTTAACAATTCTTCAACAGTAAATATAACAATTAGACATTTAAAACTCCAATTTTCTCCTGTAGTACTTTTATAACAAAATCAGTGTTACTTTCAATGTATGAGAAGTTTCAATAACTGAAACCTAATTTCCAGTTTTATGTGTATATATATATATATATATATATATATATATAGTACAGAAACTTTTAAGACAATATTATAAAAAATACACATA